CCCGGTTTGGACCAGTTTGCAGGAGGCTCTGGCCACCGATCTGGACGTCACCCAAGATCCAACAAAGGAAGGATTAGCCCTCACCCAAAACAGGAATTGCCCAAAGCGCCTTCATTGCATCATCTCAGATGCACCAGCCCCAGCAGTTCAAACTTCAACCAAACGTAGCTCAGAGAAACTCCTAGGATTTGTACATGGCCCCAGTGGGACAGTGACAACAACCAATAGAATACATGTTCTTGCACAGGAACAGGAAGTTCAAGTGCAAAGCCCATGAGAAGGTATAAATACTCCCCCACTCTCAACTCCATGTGGTCAGCTGCACCAGAATCACACAAGTTCTGCTTCATCAATAAATGGGCCCTCTTTCCAATCAGCCTCCAGCCTCCATTTTGTCTCCAGTGCCTTTCTCCCGGCTTGGAACTGAACCAGATGGATATTTCTTCCTACAATAGGATACAGAAACTAACAGTGTATGTGGTATGTCAGAAAGCAAGTGATCAAACAACAAGGCACTGATCACATGTGAAACTTGAACAATAGAAAACATTGATTCTAGATACCAATAGATAACCCATGCTCTGCTGCGTCATCATTTTGGAGATATTTCCTTACCTAAACAGAGGAAAGAATGACCAAGGGCGGACTAAAAAAAGCAGTGGGACTAGGAAGTGGCTTCCAACTTTCAGCCAGTTTCCCCACTGAGTTTTCTTGTGGGGATCTGAGAAGGAGCATCAGAAATCTTCCTTCCCTTTCCAGCAGGCAAGCAGTAGTTGCTGGGTGGCAGAAAGAGTGAGGGATTGCAAGACTGGCTGGGAAACTATCACAGAATGTTGAAAACGAAGATTCTGTCACCACAGCAGAGGTGTAGCAGCAACAGGTAGCACTGAAACAGCCATAAATTTCCTTTTCTGAGAAGTCATAGTGTTGCCTCAAAATTCAGCCACTCTGTTTGGCATGGAGCTGATAAGAACTTGATCCCTGAACTTGAGAGAGGCATTTTTACCTTTGCAAAGAGGCTTCTTTGCCCATCTGAAAACACTAACCACCAAGTAATTCAGACAAAGCAAAAAAACAAACAAACCCCTCTAATAAAACATTTATTAGAGGAGAGTAAAATCTTTTTATAGGGTACAGAAACAAATGATACATACATTTGGTATATTTGATACATCGGAAAGCAAGCAATCGAAACAATAAAGGACACTGATTACATGTGAGTCTTTAAAAAAAAGAGAAAGAAAACATTGATTCTAGGTAACATTGCACAAACGGCAAATATATAGGTTACATTACTCTTTCCCAAATGGGTTTGTATTTTTCTTAAAACATGTAAGTGTAATCAAGGACTCTCAGAATACAGACTCTGTGGATTAGTGCAAAAAAGAAGCAGGATCTTGCGCACAGGAAGAAGTGGCTTTTGCTAAGAATTTATTTTTTCTTTTCCTGAAGTTAGAAAACAGGCGGAGACTGCCATAGTAAAAATGATACTATCAACTTTTTAAAATGCTAAAATTTCATGTAACAATTGGTCCTGGATTTTGGATACATTCTGTAAACTAGTCCATTTTAGGTACCCAGACTGGGTAATCGTTGCCCTGTAAATGCATCATTTTACCCAGTTTTAGTAGCCGCTTTAGTGGCCATTCAAAGTTATGACAAATTCCCCTAAAGCTACTTACTGTCTGCTTATCACATTATGACTGTTGCAGGGCCCTCAGGATCATTCACCCTTACAACTTGTCCCAAAGGTGCTTTTTCAAGAGGCAACTGGACTTTCTGGTTTTCTTTTTTTTTCCTTTGAAGACGTTTCGCTTCTCATCCAAGAACCTTCTTCAGCTCTGACTGGATGGTGGGGAATGATTCAGTCAGAGCTGAAGAAGCTTCTTGGATGAGAAGCGAAATGTCTTCAAAGAAAAAAACCAGAAAGTCTGCTTGCCTCTTGAAAAAGCACCTTTGGGACAACCGTGACCTGGATGACTGAGAATCTCCATAGACACCCTTACAACTGATCACAAGGACGCTACAGAACCTCTTCAACCATCTCCCCCCCCCATTCCCCACAGGCAGTGGTGGGATTCAAATAATTTAACAACTTGTTCTCTGCCCTAATGACTGGCTGGGTGGGCGTGGCCAGGTGTGGCCAGGAGTGGAACAGCACTCAGCCTCCTGCAGCATTCTGGCAGTCAAAATGGGGCACGGTGGGGCTGCGCGATGCCCCCCCCACATCCCGTTTTGGGCCTGGTAGGCCTCCTACACCACCCTGGAAGCCAAAACGGGCCATGGGGGGACTCCAGGGAGGAGAGGGGTTGGGGGGGGAGCAGCCAGAGGTGGGATTAGCCAGTTCTCTGAGCTGGGCAAAATGTTAACAACTGGTATGCCCGAACCGGTGCGAACCAGCTGAAGCCCACCTCTGCTCACAGGCCTTGGACTTGCTTCCATCCCACCAGAAACTACACCCTCCTCCTTGCTTTCCTTTTGAAGATCTCCAGAGCTTGGGTTAGGGAAGCAGAATGGATCATTTCATTGTGCAGCTACATGGTGTAATCCCCCAAACCAGATGCCATTTTCTGAGTAGCTGCATTGAACTGAGATTGCTTGGGAAATGATGGCTACTTCTGGATTTGTGCCATGCAGCTGTGCAACGAAGCAATCTGTTCTGCTTCCCTAATGCTCTCTGCATAATCATCTGAAAAGCTTTAGACTAGAGATCTTCAAAATGTAGCTGGACGACAGAGGATGGGGGTAGCAAGGAGGCCTAAACCCTGAGGGAAGCTAGCAGAGGGAAAGCTTGTAGGGATTTGGGGTGGAGGATGAGGAAGGCAAGTCCAAAGGCTATGGGGTTAGGTAGTCGACTTACAACAGTTCATTTAGTGACCGTTCCAAGTTACAACCCTCCTGAAAAAAGTGACTTATGACCGTTTTTCACATTATTGCAGCAACCCCATGGTCATGTGATCAAAATTCAGCCGCTTGGCAACTGACTCCTATTTATGACAATTGCAGTGTTCCCTGGGTCACATGATCCCATTTTGCGACCTTCTGACCAGCAAAGTCAATGGGGAAGCCAGATTCACTTTATAACCGTGTGGCTAACTTAACAACTGCAGTGTTTCACTTAACAAAGGTGGCGAGAAAAGTCGTAAAGCGGGGCAAAACTCAACCAATGTTTCACTTAACCAGAGAAATTTTGGGCTCAGTTGTGGTTGTAAGTCAAGGACTGCCTGTTGTAGTTGTACGGAGACCCAGGGCAGGCAGGCCTGGGTCTCTCCTGTCTGAAGCATCCCATGGTCCGCTTAACAACCCACATTCATTTAACGTCCACATCAGGGAAAGCAGGGGATGGGAGTCATTAAATAAGGCCATATCACAACAGCCATCACTTCTAGCAACCTTAATGGGCATAAGATGAGGACAAATAAAATCCATCCTGTGTGGAAATCAATACAGATTCCACGAAGTATAAAACTTATGAATTATGTCACCCCTTTTCCCAGTTGAGTTTGTATCTTTCTTAATTACTGCAAGCGTACTCAAGACTTCCAGAATATATTCCCTATTACAGGTAGTCCTCGATTTACGACCCCCATTGAGCCCGATTTTTGTTGTTAAGCGGGACATCCGTTAAGTGAGTTTTCCCCCATTTTATGACCTTTCTCGCCAGAGTCATTAAGTGAATCATTGCAGTGGTTATGTTAATAAACCTGTTGTTAAGTGAATCTGGCTTCCCTATGGACTTTGCTTGCCAGAAGGTCGCAAAAGGGGATCACTGGGACACTGCAATGGTCATAAGTTATTCCAGCAAGCCGCTCTGATGGGATAAATGATTTTAATTTGGTTTTAATGGGGTTTTAAAATTGGTTTTAAAATGAGAGTTTAAATTCGGCCTATGATTTAATTATTTTAATCTGCTTTTAAATTCTATTTTGTACATTGTTTTTATTATGGCTGTTCACCGCCCTGAGTCCTTCGGGAGAAGGGCAGTATATAAATAAAATAAAATAAAAAAATAAATAAGTATGAACCAGTTGCCAAACATCCTAATTTTGATCACGTGACCACGGGGATGCTGCAAAGGTTGCAACTGTGAAAAGCATAAGTCCCATGTTTCAGCGCCCTTCTAATTTTGAACGGTCACTAAATGAAGTACTGTTAAGTCAAGGACTACCTATATTTAGTTTATTAATAGACTAGCTCTATCTATAAAAAAAAAAAGCCTTTGTTTAAAAGGAAGAATTGGTTTCCCAATCTTCCAAAGGAGATATGGACGCCATAATAAAACGCTAGCGCCTTTATTAAAAGGCTAATAATGAAGCTAAAATTAAAACGAGGAGCCAAAAAAAAAAAAAAAACCCCACGGCGCCTTTGCGTCCCTCACAGAAATGACAGTTGAGCAACCGACGGCGAAGCCCCGCCCCGTTCGACGCAGCTGTAAAAATAACAGAAGGGAAATAAGAGGCAAATCTCATTGGCCCAGAACGGAGCTTTGGCGTCACCGTCCGCCAATAAGCATCCCGCTGCTTTGAATAACAAAACAACAGAGACCAGGAATGTCTGGAAAAGCAGGGCCGCTTTTTTATCCAATCCGCGCTCACCCACTGCTGGCCAATCAGAGAGCAGGCATTTGGGCGGACTTTTCAAACCGAAGTAGCTTGGGTTAATCTCGTCCCTTTAAAAGGAGTGATTCGACCAAGTACGGTGTTCTTCCGCTTCTCTTTCCTCAGGAGAAGCTACAAAAGAAACCGCCTTGGGGGGGGAGGGGAAGGGTCATTCATGAAAGAACGCTAATAAATCTTCCACTGCAGAAACTAAGGAGAAAAAGAGACCCCTTTTCTTTTTTAAATCTTTTATTTCCCTCCCTTTTTTTTGAGGGGGAGGGAGGTAAGAGAGTCCTATCACTGGGATGTAGATCCCTCCGCCTTTAAAAAAAAAAAAAAAAAAAGAGGGAGACAGGAAAGGCGAGCAAAACAAAAGCGGCGGGTCACGTGACGGAAAGGGGCGGAGCCGCCGGACCTGGGAGGGAGGGCGGACTCCATTTTGAAGCGGCTCTGAGGCGCCTCTGCCTGGTTCTCTCCCAGAACGGCGTCCGGGGCTGAAGGAAGGAAGAACCATGGTGGAGCTCGTACGCTGACTCCCGGCGGGGGAAAGAACCTGGGACTGGAGGGCGAAAGGGCGTCGGGGGCTGAATGCGGGGCCGCTGGGTCGGTAGCGACGAGGCGCTGCTGCGGCTCTGGTGCTCGTTGCTGCGGCAGCGGCGGAGTGGAGCGGTCGCCTCCCTTCGCTTCAGCCCCCGATCTGCCTCCTCCGGCCCTTCCGACCTCCGAGAAGGGAGACCCGCCGCCGCCGCCGCCGCGGAGAGGTAAATCCGACCTACCCTGAGGAAAAACCCACCGGGGGGCGGGGAGATTTGTCTTTCGAGAGACCAAAAAAAATATTTTCTTTGAAAGGACAGGTCGGTATTCTCCCCTCGCTCGCTCAACGTCGATTAAAAACGGTCCTCTGTTAGAAATAAACCCCGGAGGGGAGCCTGTCAAGCTGCGAATCGCTTGTCAATTTGTGGTTGAGGGTGGGGGGGGGGGGAAGGAAGGGGGTTTCTCTGCGCATGCGCGCAATCTCCTTTGTCGAGGGAGGCGGGGCTCCTCGAAGGGAGCCCCTTTTTAGATCTAGGGGTGGGTGGGTGTCTCCCTGTGGAAATTAGGAAAGCTTTGTTTAATGGCGATGGAGGCATCCGTCCGTGGATCTCCCCCCCCCCAAAAAAAAACTTCTTTTGACCAGGGATCCTTTAAAAATGGTGGGGGGGGGGCCCCCCCCCCCCCCCCAAGGCAGGGAGTGTATGGAAGCTGGGGAGGATCTGGATGTAGACTGAATAATCACACACACACAGAGGGGAAAAAAAGGGAAGAGGAAACATCCTGGCCAGTTTGTATTGCAGGTAGTCCTCGATGTACAACAGTTCATTTAGTGACGGTTCAAAGTTACGATGGCCCTGAAAAAAGTGACGTAGGACCGTTTTCCACACTTGCGACCAGTGCAGCAACCCCATGGACATGTGATCCAAATTCAGGACACTTGGCAACCGACTCACGTTTATGACAGTTGCAGTGTCCCGGGGTCATGTGATCCCCTTTTGACAAGCGGAGTCGATGGGGGAAGCCGGATTCACTTAACAGCCTTGTTACGAACTTAACAGCTGGCAGTGACTCGCTTAACGACTGTGGCAAGAAAGGTTCGTAAAACGGGGGGGCGGAATCCAACAAATGTCTCACTTAACGACAGGAATGTTGGACACCATTGTGGTCGTAAGTCGAGGGCTACCTGTATATGGAAGTTGGGGACGACCTGGGGATGTAAAGAAACCAAATCCCCCCTCCTCCCACACACACACACACACACACAAAAGGAAGAGGAAACATCCTGGCCAGTTTGCATTGCAGGTAGTCCTCGACTTACAAGAGTTCATTAAGTGACCGTTCAAAGTGACAACAGCACTGAAAAAAGAGGCTTATGACCGTTTTTCACACTGTTGCAGCAACCCCTAGGTCACATGATCAAAATTCAGAAGCTTGGCAACCGACTCGTATTTATGACGGTTGCAGGGCCCTGAGATCATGTGATCACCTTTTGTGGCCTTCTGACAAGCAAAGTTGATGGGGAAGCCAGATTCGGTTAACCACCGTGTGACTAATTTAACTGCAGTGATTCACTTAATAGCGCCACCAAGAAAGGTCGTAAAATGAGGCAAGCTCATTTAACAATGTTTCCACTTAGCAACAGAAATTTTGGGCTCAGGTGTGGTTGTAAGTCGAGGACTACCTGTACTAAATCTGATTCTCCCTCCCCCCCCCTTACGAGTCTTAAGATGTCAAATTTAAAACTTTTAAATTTGTTTTTGAAGGCCTTTTACTGCCCACCATTACCATTTAAAAGAATAAGCTGCTTTTCCCAACCTGGTGGGATGTGAATTGACCATCTTTGTCCAGCTTGGTGATTGGTTGTGCTGGTTAGATAAGGTGGGGGCATTGTCTGATGGGTGTGAGATTGGGAAAGGGTGATCTAGAGAGCCAGACTGCCAGATGGCTCTTGGGGTATTGTTTAGCTGTAAGGGGGAGGGGTTTGTAATCTGAATTTTGCATTGATTTCGGGTAGCAGGGAAGGGGAGGCATTAGAAGCAATGACACTGCCCTGGAGAGAATCCAAGGTAAGGAAGGCAGAGAAAAAAAAAAAGCTATGGCAGAGGCTTATTTGTGTATGTAATTAGGAAGACTTGAATTGGTGTGAACACAACAATAATAAATAACATTTGGGAGCTCTTTCATAGTGGTTTTCCAGTTCTTAAAATGGAGAGGGGAGGACTGTTTGGGGAGGATTTAGGGATGAGAGTCTCAGAATGAGAAAAAGGAAAGGAAAATGTAAACAGGGGTTACAGTTGGTCGCTTGGGGTAACCAGAACTAAAGTTGAAGTATTTATTGAAAAGAGAGTATTAGATTGTTCTGTCAGCATTCATACAAAGGAAGTATGTTTTGGTATTTCAAAGGGGAAAGCAAAGTCAAAGAAATTCTGTATTAGGAGATTGTAGGAGTATCGATTTAAGGATCATTGTTGTATATAATAGGATCGACTGTGTAGGTAGCATATATGTGGACTCCCCTATGCTTTGAGTTAAAATCCTTTTATGTCCTGTTCCTGAGGGCAGTGCCAGGGGAGAGATGGCCTCAAACAAAAAAAAGAATTGTAGGCCTTTCTTTCCGTTTATACAGAATCTGTGCTCAAGGTTGTTGTTAGGGCAAAATGGAAACAAACTGCATTTATAACTCCAACTGAAAATTGTGTTTACCTTTGTGTGTGAGAAAGAGACTGATTGAGACACCACAGGAAATGTTTCAGACTACTTGTCCAATATCTCGGTAAAAAGTCAGGTGGGTAGAATCTGAAATATGTGGACCCTTAAACCTTAGGAGAGGCTGTTAAAATGCTAACTGAAGAAGATGTCTATCTGCTCAAAACTGAGCTCTCTTTATTTGGTGTATAAATAAGTGTACAAGGACTGGGAAATCTCTGTGTTCTTTTGCCGCCCCCTACAGTTACTTGGAAGTTATTGTCATGGTGTGTACGTGACAAAGCCCTCCTATGCTTCCCCCTCCCTCAACATCCTCTTTGTTAACTCTGCGGTGAACTGTGGGCAAAATAAAAGCTTTTCCTAGTCCTTTAAGCAAGAGAGAACATTCGGTTTTGTGTCTTACCCTTTCTCTTCTTTCCCCATTGGATGGTTTTATTATTCAAAAAAAGTAGTTGGACTGATGGGATGATCGGAGAAATGATTAAATCAGGGTGTTAAAGGAATACCCCTGTCTTTTACTGCCTGGCTCCCTTGGGGTAAGAATTCTAGTGACTTTGAAATCCTATATCTATCATTGGCATTTAGCATTGCAGTTCTATTCTGTGCTTTGGTGCTCTAAAATAAGTCTTGTTGAAGCAAAAGCAGACTTCCAACCAATATGGAGATTCATTTGATTGATTTTTTGCATTTGTAACACCTCCTCAGGGGTGGGTTCTACTTAGCTTTACTATCGGTTCGCAACGGGGCCATGCACGCTTCTGCACATGCGCAAAAGTTCCTTGATGATGTTGGGGTTGGTGGGCGGAGCCTCCCGCTGGTTTTACTACCGGTTCTATAGAACCGGTCCGAACCGGGGGCAACCCACCACTGTACCTCCTGATTCCACAATGACTTTGGGAGGCACTACAGATGGACCAAAAATAGACACCTCAGAAAATGTTGGCTGTGTATTTAGTACCCACCACCCTGAAAACTTTTTTCCTTTTTCCTAGATGAAGAACATTGAAGCTGAAGAACAGATGAGCAGCTGGCTCTTCAAACAGCTTAAACTCCATTTGGATCAGGAATGGAAATACCAACCCAGGGAAAAGGGGCTAAGTCTGATTGAGTGCACTATTGAGGTGAGGAGATAGAAGTTTGCCAATTGGGTGTGATGAAGAACGTCAGCTGATATGACTTATTTCTGGAGGAAGTGGCCAGAATGCAGTCAGAGCAGGAAGCTGTCAGTGTTAATAATTTGTTTAGAGCAGTTTGCTTGCTTTGTATAAAATAGATCTATTCAAATGTACTAATTCATCATAATAAACTATGGCTTATGCAACTAGTATAAGTACTGGATATTGACTTCCCGCCTTTCACAATAGATATTTAAGCAGGTTGTTACCATTGATTTTTAAAGCTGTTGGAGCATTGCTTCCCAACAGTTTTACTGAAAAACTGGCAGTGATCAGACTATATAGCTGAAATTACATATTTATATAGCTGAAATTACATATTTGTCAAGTGTTTCTTTGCTTGGTTCAGATATAGTTAGAGATCGTGATTCTTTGTCTGAGAGAATGGTACCTGCCAAATTAAAAGCCCAATTAAAAATGGGTTTTTCTCTTCACAAGACTAGCCAAGCTGTTGAATGAAGCAGTCCTTGTTTCTGAAAGAAGCAATGATAGGTTCTTCCCAGGAAATCTACTTTGAAAAGATAATTTACAGTTACAGGTAGTCCTCGATTTATAACCATTCATTTAGCAGTCATTCAGAGTTACAACGGCACTGAAAAAAGGGACCTAGGACCGTTTTTCGCACTTATAACCATTGCGGCATCCCCATGGTCACATGATCAAAGTTTGGTCACTTGGCAACTGGCATGTCTTTATGGCGGTTGTACTATCCCAGGGTCATGTGATCACCATTTGTAACCTTCCCAGCCGGCTACCGACAAAGTCAATGGGAGAAGCCAGATTTGCTTAATGACCACATGGTTCACTTGACAACTGCAGCGATTTGCTTAACAACTCTGGCAAAGGTCATAAAACGGGGTGCAACTCACTTAACAACTTAGCAATAGAAATTTGGGGGTCAATTGCGATCGTAAGTCGAGAATTACCTGTATTGAGATAGAATTGGTTTTGACTTGACCGTTTGCCATCTTACTTTATGTCTCTCATCCTGCTGGCAAGTAATTGGCTGTCGCTGGTTCATCAAAATGTATAGATCGTCCAATGAAAACCTTTGATGCAGAATTCTGCCACTAGCATTAAGATGTTGCTTGTCTTGTTACAGAATGAAAATACCTTATGCCCAAGACTTAGGAACGCAAAAGTGGAAGATCTCTGGAGTTTGGTCAACTTCTTTGGATTTGCCACAGAAACCTTTGTCCTGGCTGTCAACATTCTTGACAGGTTTTTGGCACTCATGAAGGTATATGGGGGAAAGGAAATGCTGTATCATACTTTGCAGAGTTTTATATTAAGTAGACAGATAAACAGCCTTTACTATTTGTTCTGGCCTTAAGCTACTTATCTAGTTTATCTCTAGACTAACATATAAACTATTCAGAATATGTTATATATTAAACGGATGTCATCTTTAAAATGCATTTTCATAGTTTCCTTTTCTTTGTCTCCTAATTTTTCTTCAATCTGAACCTCAATTATGTGCCATTTTTTTATCGTGCCAATTATATATTTATGTACGAGCCTCCAGTAAGGCCACATAAACAGTGGCTGAAATTCTGGGAAATATCCATTATTAGTGGAACGTTGAGTGGATTTAAGAGTATCGCAGGCTTTCTCATTTAATACATCTTATCACTCTGAGAAGTAAAATTGAAACAGTCTTGTGGACTGTGGAAATAAACAGACTTGCAACATTTTAAAAAATTTAACATTGTTGAGTAGCTGGTTATTCATAAGGTTGTTTTCCTTTGACTTAGGTGAAACCTAAGCATTTATCCTGCATTGGAGTCTGTTGTTTCCAGCTGGCTGCTCAACAGGTTGAGGAGGAAGGCAACATCCCATCTCTGCATGATGTCATCCGAATTAGCCAATGCAAATGCACCGTTTCTGATCTCAAGCGGATGGAAAAAATAATATCAGAAAAACTGCACTTTGACTTCAAAGCAACTACTGCCTTAACTTTTTTGCACTTATACCATACTATTGTACTCTGCCATACCTCAGAAAGGTACCGTTGGCTCAGTTTAATACCTTCATTTCCAGTTTTAAAAAAAAGATTAAAGCATGCAGTACAGACAGTCCTTGATTTATGACTGTAATTGAGCCGAAATTTTGCTCGTAAACTGTCATGGTCAGCGCTGAGCTTGTAATGGCGCCCAACTTTACAAACATTTTTGCAGCAGTCGTTAAGCAAACACCATGGCCATGAAGGGAACGCTGCAAAGTGAACACATTGTTCACTGTGGAGTGGTTTTAGCCAGATGTAAATGCCTATTTCCAGGGAAAAGTGATCATTTGACCATAGGGTGCTACAAACTGTTGTAAATGTGGGCCTGTTGCCGAGCACCCAGAACACAGTCACGTGACTCATGGGGAGGCTGAAATTAGAACTTTGAATCTGGCTCATAAGTCCCATTTTCAGGGTCTGTTGTAACTTACAACAGTCACTAAGTGACTGGTTGTAAGTTGAGGACTACCTGTATCCTTGTTAACACTCTTGATTTCTTCCTTTCCAATCTTTGCTGTAGTTTCTGTATGCTTCGTGTACAATGAGAGAAATCAATATGGTTGTATCTCGGCATCTTGTCATGTTTTATTTGGAGAGCAAATTGCTGCTACTGCTGGATGCATTTTCAGATTTACTAGGACATAATTTGATTTAGTAGTTTCTGATTTAATGAGTTATCCAAACTCAATCACAATGCAACTTGTGTATCCAGCAGTAACATTTTGCTATTGTGACCCTTTACAGGAAAGAGCTGTTGAATCTCGACAAACTGGAAGCACAACTTAAAGCTTGTAACTGCCGACTTGTTTTTTCAAAAGCAAAAGTAAGTTTGAAATAAACGGCTCACAATACGAAAGTTGAGGGTCAGTGACTAAATTCCTGAGCCGAATGTGTATTTTTGTCCCTTCAGCCATCCATTTTGGCCCTGTGCCTTCTCTCTCTGGAAGTCCAGACTCTGAAATCCATTGAGTTGTTTGAGATTCTTCTGTACGTTCAGAAGCAGTCGAAGGTAAGGGAGCAGCATTCATTTACCCTTGGTCCAGCCATCCTGTATACGGCCTTTTGGGGCGAAAATAATAGAGTTGATTCAAAAATAATGTTTATTTTTTAAACTGTATAGGGGAAAACACCCCTCCCATTTTGAACATGGATTATTGGGAAGAAATTGCATCTTCCCGGAGTTTAAATAATTCCTGATCTATTTATAGAAGATAAAGTTTTTCCCATTCTCCTTGGGAAAGTGAATGTTCCTGCAGCACTCTGCTGGCCGAAAACGGGCCGCGTGGAGGCCCTGCATGGCCCATTTTTGGCTGGCAGTGTGCTTCAGGAGGACTGGATTGGACTGGACTCCAATTATATGGCCTCAAATAAGTGCCTGATCTGGATAGAAAACAAGCAACATCCTATGTTAATACTACAGTTTAGATTTTACATACTGTAGGTACATTTAATCAACAATCTATAATTTTAAATGTGGATAATTTGGGAAGAAATGGCCTCTTCCTGGAGTATAAATAATTCCTGATCTATTTATAGAAGATAAACTTTTTCCCAATAACCTTGGGAAAGTGAATGTTCCTGCAGCACTCTGCTGGCCGAATTTCTATTTACTATCCTGGAATAGATCTTGTATTATCATGTTATTTATGCTATTGTATTTTATTACTAGTTGAATAATAAAAATACAATAGTGTACATAGCTTTTCTGCCTGGAAAATATTGAGCCTGTGTCAAATGCCCATCAGGGCCATGCCCGTTAGGGCCACGCCCACCCCAGCCGCGCACACGCACAACTCTGACCTCTGAGGTCAAACACAACCCAGATGCAATGTTCGAATTTTGATAGTCACCATGGGGCTGCTGCAATGGTCTATATGTGAAAAACAGTCAACAGTCACTTTTTTTCAGTGCCATTGTGACTTTGAATGGTCACTAAACAAACTGTTGTAAGTTGAGGACTACCTGTATGTGGGCTCTGTCAAAGCCAGGGAATTTCCTTGGGACAAATGTGATTTGAGTTCATAGAATCGTTTAGTTGGAAGGGACCTTAGAAGTCTTCTAGTTCAACCTCCTGCCTAAGGCAGGAGTCCTTCTAGTACCTCAGACAAATTTATTTATTTATTTATTTATTATTAAATTTATATCCCGCCCTTCTCCCCGAAGGGACTCAGGGCGGTGAACAGCTGAGAATTAAAATAACATACAATATAAAAGTTAAAATAATTAAAAATAAATTAAATTAAACGGCCGCCCCAATTTAAAACCCCTAGCAATACAATTAAAAACTAACCCATAAAACCTATTCAGGCCAGCCAAATGGTTGTCCAGTCTTGAAAACCTCCAGCAATGGAGCACCTGTGGTTATGTGAACCAGCTGGTTTATAGGCTGAGCTATATAGATCAGGGGTGTCAAACTCAATTTCATTGAGGACCGCATCAGGGTTGGGTTTGACCTTAGGGGGGGGCATGGCCAGCTCCACATCACTTGTGTTGGGGGCACCTGTGGTGGTCCGGGCGGGGCTGGGAAGATCCATTGTCCCCAATGGAGGAAGGTAAAACCAGGGACAGCACCAAACCCTTGTCCTCCAAAGGAGCCTTGCTGTCTGCTGGTAGCCAAGTGCTAAGGCAGAACTTTCCTTCTTCCTTCTCCTTTCTTCTTCCTTCTCCTTTCTTCTTCCTTCCCCTCTTTCCTTCTTTTTCCTTCCTTGCTCTTCGGCATCCTGAAGCCCTCTGCCAGCCCAGTTTTCAGCCTGGGTGAGTTCCTGAAGCCCTCTGCCAGCGAAAATGGAGCCGGGGGGGTGGGGGTAGGGTGTTTTCGCTGGCAGAGGCACTGCGGTCTGGTCCTTCACCGTTTCCACGGCTGCCCCGCGGGCCAGATTTTGCCCACCGGCCTTGAGTTTGACACCCTTGATATAGATCGATACTGGATGTGTACAGCTTGGTTTATAATCAACTTAATGTGAATAGAATGGCAGCTGTAGTTGTTTTGTGAAAGAACTTTTTTTTAAAAAAAAAAATGTGAACCTTTTTTTTTCCTCCCCCAGATAAGTGACAGTGACTTACTGTATTGGAGAGAGCTGGTCTCAAAATGCTTAGCAGATTATGCTTCCCCCGCCTGTTGCAAGCCAGATCATAAGAAACTAGTCTGGATTGTTTCAAGACGCACTGCCCAGAATCTTCAAAACAGCTACTATAGTGTTCCTGAGTTGCCCACAATCCCAGAGGCCGGATGCTTTGACGAAAGCGAGAGGTAGGTAAACGCTGTTGGGTAGAGGTCTTCAAACTTGGCAGCTTTAGGACTTGTGGACTTCAACTCCCAGAATTCGCCAGCCAGCTATGCTATGCTGGCTGGAGAATTCTGGGAGTTGAAGTCCACAAGTCTTAAAGCTGCCAAGTTTGAAGATCTCTGCTCTTGGGCCTTCCTCTGTTATTGGCCAACTGTATGTAGTCGCTTCAAGTAACTACATGTAACTTCTTTTCAATAATGTAAATGCGTGAAGGACAGATAGATGGCCCATCAACTAGCATTCCCTGTGCTGGCATTTAGAAAAATAAAATGACCTCTATTTAAGAATGAAGGATAAATTTGTCACCTTTCAGTTTTGATGGTTATGTCTGTGTTTCTGTGGCATGGACAGAGAGACCCATGACTCAGCGTCAGAACTCACAAAATCACATTTAGAAAGCCCTCAATTGGAAAAATAAGCAATGGGCATTTTTGGTAACAGTTATTGGTCAGAATAAACCAACCTTCCTCCATTTGATGCCTCTGAGAAGAGTTTGATTACATCTACCTTGCTGGAGAAGATGGGGTTTACAGTATATTTAGAGAGGGCCTAATAGAGTAAAGTAGAATAAACAGTTTTATTTTGAGAAGCTTTTTATTCCCATTGGAATAGAATGGCTTTTCCATCCTTCTAACAAACTTCTCAGATTGTTTAACGCTGCGTATGTACTTTGAGCTAAATCCCATGTTTGCAAGGAGTAGCTAATTGTGAGTTGGTTTTTCCAAGACCACAGCAATTAGTTCTTCCATGGATCATTGATTAACATGCTGTCTTTCATTTCCCCCTCCTCTCCCCCCCCCCAATACTTTAAAATAAAATGGTATGCAGATTGGCCGAGGGGGAGCTGATTTCTCTTGTTATCCAGTGAAGTCATCTTCCTGAGATTCCTTTTTGTCAGTGATAATGAGATGAGTAGTTAAGTACACAATTGAGCTAATGAGACTGAAGTGGGATAAGATAATTATCAGCACTGCTGAATTCTCACGGCCCTTTCTTAATAGCAGTAGAATGTTGTCAGCTGCCTAGAGTCTAATGGAGTGGACAGCCATCCTTTAAATTACATTACCTGGTATTTCAAAGCATCCTATTTCAAAACTTACATTAAGTTTCCCTTGCATTGTGCAGATGATTACAACATGAAGATGCCCGTGTTGTTTTCTAGGCAAAGCATGGAAATCATTGGCAATTATCTTCTTCCATGATTTCGCTCTTGTCTGCCTGTCTGTCTACCTAATTTCAAAAGATGACTAGGACTGGTACATTTTAAAGTACACCTAATTTTTGATACAAGCTGTTGCCTGGATGCTTATCTCCTATATATAATGAACTCTCACAATTCCTTGTAAAACAGCAATTCACTATGTCATACAGTGGATTTTATCAAAGGCTTTTTCATACAAAGCTAAACATTACCTCCTTATCTGCTAAGATACTATCTGAAGAGTTCCGTTGTTTAGCAATAACTAATTCGGCAGCTAGATGTAGAAACTCAGTGTTTTTTTTTTTCCCATTTACAATTTTAAGTTTTGGGCCATTAAATGCATGTAACAAATCCAACTCAAGAAACGTTTATCATGCTCCCACCAAAGGGGAAAGAATGTTCCTTGAGATTTTAGATTTACCAGCATCTCACTGAATATCCGAGGGAGATGGGTGGTTAAAAATATGAAATATAAATAAATAAAATATTAAGGGAAACTAAGCTGTGATTTTTATGTAAGGTTGGTTATCAGAACTGTTTTTACTTTTACGCTTAAAATCCTGAAGCTTGCAAAGCCAATTCCTAACCAATATGGTTAGGTGCAGAGTTTGCTAGAAAATTGAGCATATTTAATAAAAATATTTTGGTAAGGAAGAGAAGGTAGAGCAACTTGGCTGACTCCGAAGAGATTAATATGTGATGAATGCCGGTAGTCTTCAACTTACGGCCACAATGGAGCCCAACATTTCTATTGCTATGTGAGACATTTCTTAAGTGAGTTTTGCCCCATCTTACGACCTTTCTTGTCACAGTTGTTCAGTGAATCACTTCAGTTGTTAAACAAGTAGCATGGTTGTTAAGTGACTCTGGTTTCCCCCTTGACTTCACTTTTCAGGTCGCGAAATGTGATCGCATGGCCCCTGGGACCCTGCAAATTATCATAAATATGAGTCAGTTGTCAAGCATCCCAGTGTTAATTATGTGACCATGGGGCAACAGTCATAAATGTGAAAAATAGCAATAGCATTTAGACTTATATACCGCTTCACAGTGCTTTACAGCCCTCTCTAAGCGGTTTACAGAGTCAGCCTCTTGCCCCCAACAATCTGGGTCCTCATTTGACCCAGCTTGGAAGGATGGAAGGCTGAGTCAACCTTGAGCCTGGTGAGATTTGAACTGTCAAATTGCAGGCAGCTGGCAGTCAGCAGAAGTAGCCTGCAGTACTGCACTCTAACCACTACACCACCGCGACTCATCGTGACTTATGACCAAAATGGTCATAAATCACTTTTTTTCAGTGCCGTTGTAACTGAAAGCGAACTGCTCTTAAGTCGACGACCGCCTGTACCACACACTCAGTTACTCTTTTTTTCTACCTTTCTTTGCGATTGCTAATGACCTTCATCGTTTCCTTTCGCAGTGAGGACTCTTGTGAAGACATGAGCTGCGGAGAAGAAAGCCTCAGCAGTTCCCCTCTGAGCGACGGAGGGGGCACCTTCTTTTTTGACCTCAAACCAAAATCAAAGTGGCAGGCTCTTTCCTTCGATTCCGTGTGCTAGTCTGAGCTCTTAAAACGCATCGTAGTATTTTTAGGCAATAAGTATCTGAACCAGCCCTCTCCCAACTAGGGTGCCTTCCAAGGGCTGGCTTCCACCCCCAGAATCGCCAGACCCCCCCCCCCCCCCCCCCCCCAACCACAGTTGTTGCAGCTGAGAATTCTGGGGGTCGAAATCAACGCCCGCCGGAACGTGCTCCGGTTGGGAAATGATCTTAGCATTCCTTGTACTTTTGGTACAAGATCTCATGGAGTTCACTCAAAATGCATATTGTGCTTTTTTTTTTACCTTTGTATGATGGTAAGTCTGATGTGGCATGAGGGATCAAATGAACCATTTCAAACCTTTGGTCGAGAAACGATCACAGGAGCACAGATTTGCCACCCAGATCACAAGAGGGCTTGCCATGGGCTGGAATCCTCTGCTGAAAAATAGGTTGAATCTTGGCAGTGACCGATTCGGTGGCTAGAGGAAATTGCAGAGAACGTATATGAATTTCTTTTCTGAAAAGGTTTTAAATAATGTGTTTTTGTTTGTTTGTTACGTATTCTTTTAAAGAAAGTATTCCTGGAGAAATACTACCGTTTCAGGAGACTTGTTTTAATCACAAATGCTGTTTTTTTTTTCTTTGTTTTTTTTGGGGGGGTAGAAATAAATAAGCTGCTTTGTTTTTTTTAAAAAAACGCAAAACCAATCCACATCGAAGTGCTGAACATATTTAGTGTTAAGATTTCTAAAGATGAGCTTTCAAATCCTCAAATTAGGAAATGAAATGTTTTTAGGAAACCTTAGTGTTACTGTTTTTTTTTTGTTTTTTTTTAAACATATTATTAAAATTTAGAAAGTACTGGATTTCAGTGTAACGTCCACGGTCCCTCCCATTAGCTTATTTCTTTTACATTGTTATTAAGTAAATCTTATAATCATTAACTTTTGCATGCTTAAGTGAAAATGGTTAGTGGAAAGGCAGTTGATAATGGAGAAGTTTTGATAAATGTGAAGTTGATAAAAAACGGTTGTCATTACATTTAATTGCTTGCCTTTCCTTCCCCCTGCGGCCCCCCCCCCTTTTAAAGCACAGACTTTATGGTTGCTTTACTTTAGTTCCTTCAAATATATGCAAAGTAAGCAAAAGAAGTCATTTAGTCTGTATTAATAATGTGAAGGCAATGCTGTGGTTGAAACGAAGCGGCAATAAAGTTAGGATCCTTGCTTTGTGTGTTTTTTTTCTCGTGTAGGCAGAGGTGAATGTTTTGGATAGCGTGTGGTGTGATCTGATTTTTATAAAGAAAAAAAAGTTTACAAAAAAGTGTAAAAAATGTAAATTAAAACCTGTAAAAAAAAACTTAAAAAACAAAATAAGCTGAAAAATATTGTATTTTTTACAGTGTACGTTCCTTTCTATATGTTGCATGTAGATATTAATTTATTATACCTTGTATATGATATAAATAATGTATATGGAAGGCGGGGTGGGGAGGGTTGGTTGGTACGACCAGATTGTGTCAGAATGTTTTTTTGAAAGCTATTTTTGCTCAAAAAAATAACTCAAGATTATCTCTCTGCTTCTGTTCAATAAAACCAAATGCTTTTTTTTTTTCTCTATCTGAGTCTGTGGTCATTTTGGTATATATAACAGGACAAAATCAGAAACCAGAACATATTTTTAAAGAAGTGGTTAACTTCTAACTAACGGAACCTTAATTATAACGAGGATGGCATTTTGTGAAGTGAAGGAAAAAAATTACAAGAAAATTGTGATGTGCTTATCCTCGATTTCTTGGGAGAGATTTTCAATACCATCCTTGATATTGATATCCTGCAGGACATATAACCAGACTAGATGCATTTTTTTAAAAAAAAAATATAACCTGGTGAAAAATAAAGTGAAGGAGAGAGATTACAGGCTGAATTTCAGATCAGATAGCCAATCAAATCCATATCCTAACTTGGCTAACGTATGTCTACACAAGTAGTCCTCGCAACCAGAATTGAGCCCAACATTTCTGTTGTTAAGCGAGACAGTTCTTATGTGAGTTTTGCCCCATTTTCCCACCTTTCGCACCACAGTCATTAAGTGAATCACTGGTTATTAAGTTAGTAATGCGGTTGTAAAATGAAGCTGGCTTCCCCATTGACTTTGCTTGTCAGAAGGTTGCAAAAGGAAATCACACGACCCCAGGACACTGCAACCGTCATAAACACGAGTTGTTTGACAAGCATCTGAATTTCGATCATAGGATTGTAGGCACGATGAGATTCTCAGTCATCCAGGTCATGGTTGTCCCGAAGGCGCTTTTTTCAGGAAGCAACTGGACCTTTTTTCTTTTTGAAGACGTTTCGCTTCTCATCCAAGAAGCTTCTTCAGCTCTGACTGGATCCTTTCATTCCCCACTAATCCAATCAGAGCTGAAGAAGCTTCTTGGATGAGAAGCAAAACGTCTTCAAAAAACCCCCCCCACAAACCTAAGAAAGTCCAGTTGCCTCCTGAAAAAAAGCACCTTTGGGATTGTAGAGACGCTGCAGTGGTTGCAAGTGTGAAAAACTTGTTAAATTGCCTTTTCAGTGTTGTAACTTCGAGGGGTCACTAAATGGAACGGTTGTGAGTAGAGGACTCCCTGTTGAGGAAGTTCTGGAAAAGCTCAGGCTCTGTGGTCATGAAATGACCTTAGCCTGGTGTGATGCTGGCATTTTGGCTTACGTTGGAATGTTAACAATTCATACACAAATGTACTATATTTTTCAGAGTATAAGACGCACCAAAGAAATCTGCCTCTGCCTCCCAGCAATTTTGCCTCGTTGCAGCAAACAGCCTGCTTTACTTTCATTTTTGCTTTCAGCATAGCTTGATTAGCACAAGGAAAAAAAAATCTGCTCCCAGCAATTTACCTCCTTGCAGCAAGCAGCAGAGCCCTGCACAAAGCAGCTGAGAGCAAAACAGCTGAGAGTCAGGAGGCCAATCCAACAATCAGTTTGTGCTAATTAGACTTTGCTGAAGCTGGAACAAGCGGTTTCTTGCTGCTTGCTGCAAGGAAGAAAATTGCTGGGAGGCAGAGGCCAAAGGATGGGGGCCAGTGGGTGGACAGGGCTACATTCGGTGTATAAGACACACCTAAATTTTCACATCCTTTGGGGGGGGGGGGAAGGTGCTTCTTATACTCCGAAAAATACAGTAAATAATTGCATGTGTACCTCCAAAATCAAGCTTGGCTGTATTTTATATACCAATCATATATCACCCCCAGTGCGTCACCTCTGGGTGACTTGAGTACAAAATAATTTGAGTCCTCAGCACTGTGACACTAATTGACAACAGAATTGCAGTTTAGTCATGGCGGTCGTTAAACAGATTACCACCTGACCGCACCCAGCATTATGATCTTGTGGTTGTGGTGTTGAAATGAATGCCGCAGTCCATTAAGCAACCCACAGTTTCCCCAATGGGCTTTGTTTGCTGGAAACTAGAAGTAAACACTAAAAGCCAGCAAAAAAAAAAAAAAATGCTAAAAATTGTGATTTTTAGCATTTGGCAACCGGCTCGCATTTGCTATAGGATTATGCGAGCACTGGAGTAAGGTGGAAGGGTTCACCTATCAGAACTTCTAAAACGAGTTGTAAGTAACTCTGGGGAGGTCTGTTATAACTTTGAACAGTCACAAAACAACCGGTTATTAAAATCGAGGTGTCAGGTTTCGATGTCATCTCAAATAAAATAAATTGCATTTCCAAACAAATAGTCTTCGATGAAATCTTTCATTTTATTAAGCATGACAATCTGTCCCCGATTGTGGCGTAGCCAACCCTGACTTCCTGACCCCAAACCTTCCCTTTCCGTTCCCCAATTCTCTGCGTCTCATTGGCCATCTTCCAAATCACTCTCCCCATATCTACTACTACAGCTCCCAGGAATGTCCCGCCCCTCCCATCTCATCTCCTAGGGGATATTATCTTCAGGGAAAATAAGTAGGTGAGAAGTCAAGCGTCCTCTTGCCAGCTGCCCCTCTCTTCTCCTTCTTATGTCAGCACTAGAGTAAATGCAGGTTGAAGTGCTGACACGAGGGCTATCTGTATAACAAACTAGCGAAATAGTCCATATTAAAAAAATTGATTTTTCCCCCCATTAAACTCCACTCTACTTATTTATTTATTTATTTATTTATTTATTTATTTATTTATTTATTTATTTGTTAGATGTATATGCCGCCCTTCTCCGGAGACTCAGGGCGGCTTACAATGCGTTTGTCAGGGCTTCGATGGTGGCATGGAGAGCAGAGGAGAAAGAGAGATAAGCTCTGAACTTTTGCCTGCTAAATCCCTTTGAAGTCGGGTTGTCGTGGAAATGAGGGGGGGAGACATTCCTGGGAAATGACGAGACAAGAAGTCTGAAGAATGACTTGGAAGATAGCCAATGAGAAGCAGAGATTTGGGGATCGGAAAGGGAGGGATTGGGGGGCAAAAGGTCAGTCTTGTCCGCATTGAGTCATGATCCGGTGGCTGTGCTCAATTAAAGAAAAGATTTCCTTAAAGATTGGCAGTTTGGAAATTCATTTATTTTGAGATAGCATCGAAGTCTGACAGCGTTAAGCAATAGCCTTCATACTTTTGTATATACTCCTATACTAGTAGGGCTTTCACCCCCCCCCAAGCGGTGATCTTTTTTATACAAAGTCAGCTTATTGCCCCCACAATCTGGGTCCTCATTTTACCTACCTCGGAAGGATGGAAGGCTGAGTCAACCTTGAGCCTGGTGAGATTTGAACTTGCAATAATTGCAGGCAGCTGGCAACTTAAGTGCTATCCTAACCTACTACCCTACGTACAGCTAATTTCGATCTGTTGACAAATGTTGGTCCAAAGACATTTGAACTACACCTGGTGGAAAGGCTGGCTTAAACCTTAAAACTTAAGCCAACTTTTCTGGAAATTCTCAGTCATCCAAATCACCCAAAATTGCTTTTTCAAGAGGCAACTGGACTTTCTGTTTGTTTGTTTGTTTCTTTGAAGATGTTTCGCTTCTCATCCCAGAAGCTTCTTCAGCTCTGACTGGAATTCCACACCATCCAGTCAGAGCTGAAGAAGCTTCTGGGATGAGAAGTGAAACGTCTTCAAAATAAAACAAGAAAGTCCAGTTTTGTCTCTCGAAAAAGCACCTTTGGGACTTAAACCAACTGGCTTAAACACCAGTTGCACTGAAGACCCCTAGATGGCGCTGTCTTCTTAAGCCAGGACATGTAGCTAGGACCTAAATTATGTCCCTTGTACATTGTACAATCTCAGTAGCGGTTGGTTTTCCGCTGGTGCGTTGAAAGTAGGCCTACGCCTACCAACAACCTGGCATTTGGGGGTTTGTTCAGTATTCACTGGCATTATTCTGAAAATGCCATCATGGTCCATTATTCTAGAAGAGGGTTAATGTATATCTTTTCAATGTGAGACTTGATCCTTCCTTCCTTCCTTCCTTCCTTCCTTCCTTCCTTCCTTCCTTCCTTTCTTTCTTTCTTTTTTCTTCTTTCTTTCTTTCTTCTTTCCTTTCTTTCTTTCTTTCTTTCTTTTTTCTTTTTTCTCTTTTTTCTCTTTCTTTCTTTCTTCTTTCTTCTTTCTTTCTTTCTTTCTAAATTATTTGCTTATTTATTTGTAAATTTATTATTTTGAAAAATACCTCAAAGAGCTGAACATACCCAACACACTTTCCTCCTCCTATATGCCCCACAACGACAACCCTGTGAGGATGGGTTGAGCTGAGAGAGAATGACTAGCTCAAAGTCACCCAGCTGGTTTTCATGTCTTAAGGTGAGACTATTTATTTATTTATTTATTAGTTCAATTTATATGCCGCCTTTCTCTGAAGACTCAGGGCGGCTTACAATGCATTTTAAAAAACCATTATAAAAACATTTAAAAATTAAAACATTAAAACCCATTCACACCATTCATGGCCGGATCTCACAAGATCGCAACAGCGAGATCAACAGCCCCAGGCCTGCCGGAGAAACCAGGTCTTCACCGCTTTTCGGAAGGCCAATAGAACTCATGGTCTCCCACTTTCTAGTCTCATTCCTTAACCCCTAGACCAAAAGTGGTCTTAGTCACAGAGAGGAGGGGGTCAACCTATTCTCCAAAGCACCTGAAAGCCAGACAAGGAATAATGGATGGAAACTGATCAAGGAGAAATTCAATCTAGAAATAAGGAGAAATGTTCTGACAGTGAGAACAATCAACCAACAGAACAGAACTTGCCTTTGGAAGTTGTGGGAGCTTCATTACTGGAAGCTTTCAAGAAGAGACTGGAGTGCCATCCATCAGAAATAGTATAGGTCTCCTCCTTGGGCGGGGGGTTGGACTAGATGACCTACAAGGTCCCTTCCATCTCTGTTATTCTATTCTATTCTGTTGAATAGAATAGAATAGAATAGAATAGAATAGAATAGAATAGAATAGAATAGATGCCCTCGTCACCTCTCGCCTGGACTACTGCAACGCTCTCTACATGGGGCTCCCCTTGAAGAGCACCCGGAGGCTCTCCAGAATGCGGCCGCGCGGGTAGTCACAGGAGCCGCATGGCGCTCCCATACAACACCTCTCCTGCGTGAGCTGCACTGGCTCCC